GCTGTTTGCTGAATTTTCTATCCTTTGTCATAGTCTTCTGTTCTTTTGCCCCATTTGCTAGAAACTGTGTTCCACACTAAATTAATTTTCATTGCGACCTCTTTTTTCTCTTCCTCTGCCCATATAGACTATTCACCACATATCTGTGTTTATCACCGTCCTCTTGTTGCCCACCATATAGGCAGTCCAGGAGAGTTTCACTGCTCAGATCCTTTCTCTGAAGTTTTGATTTCTGTTAAAGTAAACATTGACATTGAAAACATAACAGTTTTCTAGGTAAAATCAGTTTAGGAGCTCAGGAGCAGAGGACTGTTCCAGGATTTTCTAATCTTCCCCCCCACAGCCCCCACTCCTTTTTATTCGTTGCTGTGCAATATGTGCAGACATGAAATAGAGCAGATTTATTCTAGTCTTGCACCATCTGCTTATCCAGTATAATTTTGAAGTTTAAACTTGAGTCCAGATGTATCCATCCAATGTTCTTAACTGATTATGTGTAAACCAGAGTAGGCTTTGGGTTTTTTTTCTTTGGTGATGGTGAGGTACTGTTGGATAAATGCCATGAATTGAAGCAGCAGATGCTTGTGCCTCCTGAAGCTTTATATTATGATAGTAGGTACTACTCCGTCCCTGTCCCTAAACTTATTTGAAACTTTGAGAAAATTCTAGCCAAGAAGAGATACTGTTATTCTTACGTTCTTATTTTATTGCATTTCTTGTCAGTCTCACTGCCTATTACCCTTTATTTGATGTACAGCATCAGCAGCTTTCTTAAAATTCAGAACATTAGAAGAGATCCTGAGTTAAGTCCCATCACTGCTGTTGCTTATGTATCAGGTTTCAGATCCTGGTCAAATTCTTACCTGAAAGGATTGAGGGTTTGGATTGTGTGGTTTTGTTTTGTTTTCTTAATTTCATTTGGGGGGACGGTGTTTCTTGTGCCACTATAGTTCTTATTAAAATACTGTTTCAGAATCTCAATGTTTTTATGGCTGTGGAAGTTGGAAGCATATTTGTAGATGGAGTTCCTATAACCAGCCTACTTCATTTGGGTTAAAGTCAGGTTTGCTTTTTCATTTAAATAGCTTATGTCCTTTCTGTTTGGTTACCCCGATCACGTTTGACCAGAGATCGATCATATTCCTTCTCAGCCAAGCTCTTCATTTCCTCTTAACCAAGAAAGCAGAGTGTCCTTTTTATCTTGTTTACTGTGCCTGTTCCAGCTCCAAATTTCTGGAATGTTGAAGTGGCAAAATAAAACTTTAAAAAAAAGTTTTATGTTTATATGTGCATTGTATAGCTTTGTCACATTTCGCTATATGGAAGTTTATCGTGCTGTTCACTGTGATTTAGGGGGAAAAATACGATCATACACTATATATATAATATTATGCATACCCCATAAGAAAGAATGGAATTGTAAAGAAAACAGTTCTCTAGCATTTGGGAGAATTTAGTGATGATAAGCTGAATGAAATAGGTAATTTAAACATACAATGAAATTCTGTAAACGTTGAAAATACTGGAGGATGGGAGCGTACTTGAAGGGAAGGTATCATTCTGTGCTTGCCTAGTTCTCATCCCTAAATACTTGCTTTCTCGTCAGTGTGAGAGACAAGTGTTAAGCTAAGATCATGCTTTTGGTTTTATTCAGTACTTCTGCTTTTATGTTATTTTAGCTAAGGGGTTTCTTACAAAGTCATCTATGTTTGGTATACCCATTATATGAAGTCTTTCATTAGTGCATTAGTGTAAATTTGATGCCACTTCTCTGTAATTTGCTTGCTTTTTATTTATTTATTTATTTAATAAGCAGTAAGGTATTACTGCAGGGATTGATTAAAAACATAGAGGTGTGTAGGTAGTTTTCTGGTGCTTCTGTACTCAAATGCATTTTGTATGGATCGCATTTGATACACACGCATCTAGATATGAGTCTCCAGTTTTGCTAGCAGCTGTTGGCTATTGATGTTCCCCTCTTGTAGAGCATGTAAGATGGAGCAGCTGTGGACAGTCATCTGACTGCTATCCTGCAGTCTTTTCTATGTTTCATAGAAAACTACTTTTCTATGTTTCATACACTACCAGATGGCGTCAGTGTTCTTCAGTTTAATAAGAGATTAAAGGTGCTAAAGACAGTTGATATCAGACTCCTCTTATTCATAGAGGTAGAAATATAACCACCCCTAGACAGATCAGCAGAGCTCACACTTTGCTTTATAATGCCGAAGTTGAACCAAGCCTCATTAGTCAACAGGTGCTGATCCTTTGGGTACCAAACTGATACTGCTTTTCTGATGCTATCAAGAGTCCTGCTGTTGTCTTATTTTCTGTCTCCAGCATTAGTTTCAGTACCACTGTATCTAATACCAAGCCTTCTTTTTTAAAAATAAAAGTCCTGTCTACTTTTCAGCTCCAAACACGGTAATTTTGAGATTTCTATCCATCATGTCCCAAAACCTTCTGTAAGAGGAATATAACTCAAATTTTTAGCTTGCTCTACATCAAAGGAGCTCACCAGATTCCATCTGCACAGAGTATTTAAGCTTTTCCTAAATATGACATCTCCTGGCACCCTTCTTTTTGAACATAGAGCCTTCTCAGTCCCAGCCCATTAGTTTCCTTTTTTTCTTTATTGGTATGGCAGGAGCCCCTATGTAGAAATTATTCTCTTTCTTATGCCTGCAGATGTCCCTGTCACTCATTCAGCACTTACTTCCCAAGAGTTCTGATGAGAAAAATTAAGTTACTCCAGAAAACTGCAAGACCAGCAACCTGAAGATGATACATAGGATAAAGTTAAGCGATAGTAAGGAGTAGCCTCCCCTGTTAACTCTCTTACATACTACACGCTACATGGGAGGAAATCTGATTCTTCCAACAGATGACACATGATACTTTCTTAACAGAAATTTGTAGTCTTTTCCAGTAGCTATTGCAAAGAACTGCAGATATTTTTCTGTACTGAACAGGCTGTAGCACAAGAAAATGCTTGGATTATCTGGTCTTTTCTATGCTTACTTTCCTTTCACATGGGGAGCATAAAAAAATCTCTTATGTCAGAAATCTCAGCTACCGTTCTTCTAGCATGTTTGAAGTTAGAGCTTTAATCTTCCAAAACACCTAAGAAACAAGTGAGAGGCTTAAAAGATTATTTCTCAGGTATAAATGAGTAAAAGGAGGTGACTTACCCAAGGCCATGCAGTGCAGCAGTAGCACAGCAGGAGTAGACTATTCTCTTGCTGCATCGAGGCCTTTCCCATAAGGGATATTGCTTTCTAAAAAATGCCATTATCTTATATTCTTTTGCTCTTAGTGATAGCATTGGTGGTGGTGGAAATAATGTTTTTGTTTCTCTTGTCGAACAACCTCATCAGTCTGATTTAGTGCTGGTAAATAATTTGATCTAGACTCTATTTGTAAAAGGTCACTAGATGCTGTTTTAAAAACTAAGATACTATCTTAAAAACTACTAGCTTTTGGTTTTAAAGGACAAAAGTCAGGGTTATTTAAGAGACTGTTCATATTGTCGTAATCTGGATAGGATTAATTATAGTTGCTATTGCTAGAGCATCAGATTTATAGTTACCTTGATGAATGAAGTGATATACCAGAAACTGGTTCACAGAACATTCTTCTCTAACTTAATATTTTTTTTTCTTCTTCTTTGGTTAGTCTGCAAGCCTTGGTGCTCACTGTCTGATGAGCTTGTGGGGAAAAAGTGCTACAGAATGTAATATGAAAAATCATTCATGGTATTTAGATGACTGTTGAAGGAACCTTGGTTTAGAGATTTCCTCAAGATTTTTGCATTTTAGACCCTTCTTTATCAATCTTGCATTTCCTGAGTAAATTTGATGCCCGCAGGGAATGAGGGTGCAGCTAGGAAGAGCAACACATTACCCAGTTCAGCAATTGCTTGCTGCACACACCCTGTGGCTCTCCCAGTGTTGACATGTTATAATCTGGCATCACGTGGTCTCCTGGCGAAGGTGGTGGCTGCGGAACGTTTCCTTTAACTGGAAAGGTTTTACAAGTGGATCTGTTGATCCTGAAGTCCAAAGTATTCAACTGAAGGAAAAACTTACTTGTTTTGAGTTCATATTTTATGCTGACAGCATGTAAGTACCTCGCTTCAGGAAATGTTTGTCCTGAAGAAGCTAATACTACTTTACTGCCTGCCTTTGTATCTAAAACCAAATGCATTTAGCTTAGTTTTATTAGTGCACAGTGCTGCTTAAGAACACAATCCGTTTTTCCAGGATTAACATTGTACATAATTCTGTAGAGGGAGTTTGAATCTCTAATGCTGTTTACAAGTGGATCGAGATTCATGCCAGAATTCTGGATTTTTTTTTTTTTTTCCTTTCCTGAGCTCCCATGGGAACACTGTCTTATTCAGAAAATGTTTTGCACATTTCCCACCTTGTAGTGCTAAATTCTTTATCTAATTCAAGTCCAGTAATTTTAAAGTATCTGTTCAATATTGTTTTTTCAGACACTTTCCATTCCCATTTCTTAACATATAAAATGTAAAATATATAGTTTTTGATTATAAACAGATGTATTTCAGGTGCATGTTTTGAAGTTTTCTTTTTGTCATGGGCTAAAAGTTATCTGTATCAGTCTTTTTATTACTATAAAAATGATAATTATTGGTAGAAATGCTTGTTTTACTTAGGAAAAAAATAGTTACTGTGAACTATAGATTAAAACCATGAAATTTTAAAGTATAATGGATATTTGCTTCTGTTTATTTGCTTTGCCTAATCACAATTATTTCAAATTTTATTTTAGTTAATATTGATAAATGTAAAACTTCACATAGCTTTTAATTACAAAACATAGTGCTTAATAAAAATGTTGGGGTTTGAGAGTTTTTTCTTGTATTAAAAAAAGCTGTAACAAATGCTTATTCTCAGAGATTTTCAGCTTTTTTGCGAGTAATTTAATTGCTGAAGTTCAGAGGAAATTAATTGCAGTGCCTCCCTTTCTTACAGAATACAGTCGTTTTGAAGCTAAAATACATGATTTACGGGAACAGATGATGAACAGTAGCATTAGTTCAGGATCAGGATCTTTGCGAACCAGCCAGAAGAGATCCCTATATGTCAGGTAATCATCTTTTTCATGGTATTGCTACTGTGTTTTTCTGCTTTTCTGTATACTTAGTATTTCTGTATTTGCGTTTTTATACAATTATTTACTCATTATTAAACTTAACAAAATGATATTTATATGCAAAATATATTAAAAATAAAGCTTAATTTAGATCAATTAATGTAATATAGCTGAAAAAGATGTACTAGCCCTGAAAACCCTGTGTGAACTTTGAAGAGTGGTCCTATTACTTGCTTTTTGTCCTGCCTCTTGGAAAGATGATAATCCTCCAGCAAAAACATATATTTATTCTTTAAGTCAATGTATGTGGAGTCTTAAGTTGCTTAATTCGGTTTGTGTTTTTTGTGACAATAGTCATATTCTCCCTTGTTCAGTTCTTGATTTCAAATTTATAGTCTCCCTTTACTTAAGCTTTGACAGATTTCCATCTTATTTCCTTCAACTTACTTTAGTTGTATTCTCAGCTTGCATTAAGAAATCTTGTTTCTATATCCAATAGCATTTTGTTATAGAATGTTTTCCATGGTAACCAAGAGAGCAAATGTATCAAAGCAAATGAACTGAATATTCTTCATTAATTTATTCATATAGAATTAAACATAAAGGAGGCTAAAAGTGGAAGTGGATAAGAAGTGGAAATAGAAAAGAGCATGAAGCAGTTAAGAAAATAGGTGGTTTTACCAGGAAATTGTGGCAAGGTTCAGCTCATTAATGTGCCAACTAACTCCTACATCAGTTACCATATACTGATAAAGCATAATGTTTCAAGTATGGAATGTGGGTAAAAGGATTGCATTTTTAAAAATAAATTGATTTTTGAGTTCCCTGAACCAGCTCATCTCTGGATTGAATAGGGCCAGCAGTAGCCTCTTGACAGGGGCCAGAACATTTTAGTAGAGCAGGTAAGACTTCAGTATTGCTGGTGCTTGGGTTAAACTTGGTTTAAAATGTTGTAGAACCTCACTGGCTGACCTGCTAAAATCCTAGGCTCAGGTGCTATTGACTTTTCCCATCCGAAACAGAAACTGTTTTGTTCATGGTGCTGTGTCTATTGAGCTATGAGAAGGGAAGCAAGTCTTACACAAGGCAGTTACCTGAGTAATTGCATCTGTGCTCAGAAAAGTCTCAGTCCTTTGCAACCTGTTTCTGAAGGCTTTGAAACAAATGTAGCAAATTACTCATACAGGGCTTCTGTTTAGATTGACTACAACATGCAGCCCTTATGTTTTGACCTATTATTTTAGTAGCTTTATTTGGATTCTGTTTTTGCAGAGCTGATGTTGTTCTTTTTTTTTGTACTTTGTCTGCCTTAAATATTTTTGGGAGTAAAAATTTAAATCTCTAAGGATAAATGCATTAAATACTAAGGATAAGTGCTTGATATCAGTTATCCATGTCTTAGAATTTCCACAGGTAGGTGTACATATGGATATTGTGGTGAGATCTCCTTCCTTCCCATAATCCCAAGATCTATCGCTTTAGCCCTCATCGTATAACTAAGCCTAAACAATTCTAAATGCTTTTATTTTGCTTGGTTAGCTATAGCCTGATTAGGTTCTAAACCACTTACGCTCATGTCCACACATTGGTCTGGTATTTTAAGCCACTGACAAGCATTTTGTGTTTATGTAGCTTTTATTCTGCTGATGGAAGTTATCTGTAAGTGATTGAGGTTGAGCTTTTGACTTTGCCAGCTGCTGCAGAAAATGCAACCCTCTCCAGGTTGCTGGCAGAAGCCTTGTGGAGACTAGTGATTCCTTTACCAAGTCAAAAAACCTTTCTTGGAATCAGTTTTGTTGTAAGTCAGAACAAAAATATAAAATGCAAAAATTCCTCAGGAAAAGTACTTTTCCACCCACGTCTTTTAACAGAGGGTGCTGCTAGGGCTTTTGAGATCTACTCATGTCTTCACACCAAAAGATGCCAAAAACTGGTAGGCAACTTGCTATCCACAGGATGGGTTCACATCTGTTCTGTCTGGTTTCTGATGTAATTTTGACCTCACTGAAGTAAGTTTTATGAATCTTTTCACATATGGCTAGATGCTGAAAGAACATGTTAGTTATCCAGCTTATTCCTTATAAGTCACTCTGTACTTTTCATCATTCTAATCATTCTAAGATCATTCTGTACTTCTAATTGTACCAATTTAAAGCCAATTTTAGTAGCTGAAGCTATCTTTTTTTTTTTCTGTAATATTTGGTTTTGGATATGCCTTAAAGGATTGCAGTTATATAATGTAATGCTGAATTGAATGGTAAATCCAACAGTAAAATGTTTATAGGCATTCAACCGCAATTGTAGAAAACCTATCAAATAAAAGTACTCTCAAAATAATAATCTCTGGTGACTTCTCAAAATCATGGTAACAAAATGGCAAATAAAATCAGATACATCATTGTGTCCCCGTAACTGAAACTTGGTATCTTTATGAATAGTGTGCCTATAAACAGCATTTTGGGGGTGTTATGTAATGTTAAGAAAAAGACAATTGTGTTTGCCTGAAAATACAATATGAAGTAAAATGGCAGATTTTTCGTCTTAATTGTATGTATATCAATATATGATGAATAGCAATATAACAAACAGTCCTTGGAGGGCAATCAAATACAGCAATTCAGCAGCAGCTAACCCTTCATTGCACATCTAATTCTCCCCCTCTCCCCCTCTCCCCC